TAAAAATATTTCTTTTTTTTATTGGCGATCAGTTATCTTGATTGCCTCCTAATAATTTACCACTCAATTGTAGGACTGTTACTCTATGCTGCAAAGATACTACTAAGTAAGTACTTTGGTATATATGAACATGAAACCAATAAACGCTGTGACTTTATTTCAATGGGTATTTGACGTTTGGCGTTTATACAAAACTGCCATGTACGAATCTGTTCAATCTGTGGCTTGAAATCATGGAATGCGGCTTGACTGTAAATGGTGTTGTGGTAATTAATTTGCACCAAAAAGCAAACACGCAGGAGACGAAATCTTGCGGCTGTTCCGAAAATATTGGAGCTACTTAAAATCAAAAAGCTTGCTTCGGCAGTACCCACAGAAAGAACAAAGGAAGTTTTATTTCCTGCTGAGAAAATGTTCACAGTTTGCTTCGGAACTCGTTACGTGAGTTAAGTATGTGCGTCTTCCAACTCCGGTGTTGGTTTGGTGGATGGTCTCCTAGATGGGTTCTATTTTCGCGAGTGAGGTACTAAGGCTACCGCGGATTTACTATGTATAAAATCGCATCAGGCAACCGCTTTAGAGAAGAATCTGGAAACTCAAATCGGAACACGATTGAAAAATTAGCAGCAAAAAAATTTAGCTTGAGCTCATAAGGTTAAACTGACTTCAAATATGTTTAAGTACATATTTATATTCCTAAAGTGATTTTTAGTAGCCATCGTCCGTTCTTAAGCATTACCGGATATCAAAGATATCAAAATATTGAACAGTACTGTAACTAAGGAAACAATTTGTTAACAACAAGTGAGCAAATTATGGCAAAAAATATTTCTTGTCATTTTAAGAGCGTAGCTAAAACCAAAACATTTGTTATTATTAACTAGGAAAAGTTAGTAAAGCCGGCAGGCCTGAGAAGCCTCACATAGATTGACCACTTTCAAAGATTTACTAGTTTAATATACGACCATTGAAGCCTAATATTTTGCACTGTAGCCTCCGTTAAAGATCAAAAATGTACAGATTCCACGATGGGCGGTACTGCCATATCAGATCGATCACCGCAAACCCGGCCAAGAACTATCACCTTATGGCATACACAAATATCAAACTTTTCGAGAGTAACTCTTTTTTGCTCCTTTGCCGAAAGCCAATGCCAAACAGTTTGTTTTCAAAATTATTCAGCCATATTATTTTTCAAACCACAAAGCGTCTCCATGAACAGTAATGTATATGATTTTTTCTAATTATGGCCGGCGACCCTTCACCACAGGGACGAAGGAGGTATCAATTTCTAAAGAAATGAAAATGCAACTGATATGCAAAAAAAAATTTAGTACAAGATGTTCGAGTTAAGCCAAAATCCCTTGCGTGATCCCGCCCGCTGTGAACTCAAGTACTTGAAAAAGCAACAGAATTTGTCGGTTTATATTTCATAGAAAGAGTTCATTGTACTTTTAGGAATTGCAAATTTATTTTTATACAAACACATACATACATACATAAACAGATAATTTTGTGTGTAATCATATTTGCATGTCTTTTGCTTGCTATTTTTGCGCGCCGCCAGTTACTGAGCGCTATGCCAATGCACTGACAGCCGCCAGCATCCGCGGCTAAGCGTTGTGAGCATTTACTAAGCTAAGCGTTCATACAAATATGTGTATGTCTGTAGGTATGTAGCTATATGCGGCTAAATGCAACTCGGGATAATCTTAGCTGCTTATCACTTAAACACATTAGGAGTATTCTCACAGACTTGCAAAGCCCTTGCACGGTGTACGGATGGTACGGTTTGCAAAGCTGTCCCATGGGAAAACCAGTTTTATCGCTTAATGAAATTATTTAAATTTTTAATTTATTAGATTTAATAAAAATTAAATTTTAGTAAACTTGTTGCACACCAAGTAGTAGATATTTAGTCGGAGCTCATAAAATTACAAAAAATATTGAATTTGCAAAGTGATTAGATATGCAAATCGCATTAGTGCATTAGCACTACACTTTTAGCAAATATACATGCCAAGTAATTGAATAAATTATGCGCCAGAAGTGTGTATACATTTTAAATTTATTAACAGATTCGTAGATATTTTGGGCGAACGAACTTAAAATGTCTACTCTCAGCTGTGCTAAAATTGTAGGTCACTGCACTTGGCGTGAAGTAAATGGGCAAACAGATGCTTTAAACAAACATTAAAAAATAGATAAACCACAGTACATACAGCACTAATTTATTGGCACAGGGAATTTTTCACAATACATGCAAACATTTTTACTTAAATTTGTTCCGATAATTTTTATAAAAATATAGTTCATACAACGACATAAAAATAAAATTTCTAAATTTTGTGCAAAACTCAGGAAAATCAAAAGTTTGCAACTGTTTTATTCGATTTTCTACAAAAATTTTAATTAAGTTTTATAGCCCATCAAAGGTGGTAAAGAATCGCGCTACTAAAAAAAATTAAATTAGCGAACATACAAACTGCGTGAAAAAATGCCAAAAATCAACGCGATTTTTTATGAACTTCAAACTTGCACTTTGTTATACTAAAATTGAATGGTCTATAAAACTGCGTACTTAGAATTTTTTCAGAAAATCTGATTAAATTTTTCCTGAGTTTTGCATAAAGTTGAGAGAATAATTTATATTTTCTTTTTGTAATATTGTATTTTTATAAAAATTAGTGGAAAAAAATTAAAACAAAAATTTTGCATATGATGTGAAAAGTTCCCTGTGTCTGTAATTTAGTGCGGCACGTATATATATGTACATATTTATTTTTATAAATGCATACATAGCTAAATTTGAGTTCAATAAACGGCCAGCCATACTTCTTATCTAATTGCTAAAGACTGACGTGCGCTTGTAAATGTTTACATTTAATATTCATTGTGCAACATTTGACCTTTTTGTTTAATTTTAAATGTGGTGCAACGTCATATATTTTTTGTTTTTACTTTTTGTCTCTTACGAGAATTCCTCGCATCGGCTTCAATTGCTTGCGCATTTGCTCATCATTGAAGTTAAGTTAGTATGTATTATAATTAATGCAAGTATTTAAAACGTATGCGGTGGCCATAAAATATGCAAATTTATTTTTAGAATAGCCGGCTGACCTCATCAATGCATTTCATGTGTATAAATAAGTTATCTCCTAATTCGAAAATTTGTTTATTTTTGCTGCGGCGTCAGAAGGAAATCGTTGACTTAATTTCTTATGCAGCTCTATGCAAGCTAATGGTGGAGGGTAACTTAAAAAATGTTTGTAAAGAATAATTTTAATTTTTTGTAGATTTGTAAATTTAAATTTACTAACTTTATCATTATAAAAGAAAGTAGCAGAATGATTTTGTAATCAAGAGGATGCTGATTCAGTCATATCTTGAAAGCGCTCAAAAATGGGCTCCAAGAGGCATATGTACGGGTGTCTATGAAAATAATAAGTAACCGCCTGGTGAAGTTACGGATCAAATTTCGAGCAACAGCTGCGAAACCCTAAAATAACGAATGGCGTCTAGTAGCGAGTCTTCCTTTAGAGTGGCAAGCACAATTGCTCGCCAGTTCTACTAAAGGCAGTAGGCTGCTTCAGCGATGTGTGAAATTTCCAAGGCAGCTTCACGTTTGGTGATGCTTACAAGAACAAAGACATGGCAAATTAATTATGTTCAGCAATAATTTGGTCACCAACGGATAAGTGGTTTGTGCGAAAAATTCGAGATTGGATTAGTCAAGAGGACAATAACCCAAAACATCGAAGTCGCCCGCGAAGCTGAAACAACGCGGAAAAAGATACGATCCACAAATTAATATAAACGCCCCCGAAATTTTCATCAATTATCTGCTGAAAAAATTAAACCAACTCTGTTCACGAAATATGCAAAGTTAATGTTATCCTCACCATTGAAAGAACTTTTATTAATATCTATATATTTTAGCTTACCGATATATTTTATCGTTATCAATATATTTTTCGTTATGCATAATTTGATTGTTATCGATATCTTTACTGCCATTAATATAACTTAACGTTTCCAATATTTTTTTCCGTACCGATTTTTTATCGTTATCGATATTTTTTGTCGGTTATATTGGTATCTTTAATGTTATCGATATTTTTTGTCTGTAATGCTGTTTTTTATTGTTATAGACATTTGTAGATGTATTCATCAATTGATTTATTGTTGTCAATATTTTTTATTACTATCGATATTTTAACTTTGATACTTTTTATCGTTATCAATATATTTTTCGTTATTCATAATTTTATTGTTATCGATATGTTTATGGTTATTAATATTCCTTAGAGTTTTAAATATTTTTTTTTCCTGACCGATTTTTCAACGTTATCGATATTTTTATCGTTATCGATATTTTTACCGTTTTTAATACATTTATCGTTGTCGCTATTTATTATCGACATTTGTTAATGCATTTATCAGTAGATTTATCGTTATCAATATTTTGTATTGCTATCGATGTTTTTATCTTGTGATCTGATGGGCAAGAGCATATCCAAAAATAGTGTACCTTCCTGAATAATATATATCTACTATAGTTAGGAAAGGGGTGGCAGTCTGATCAAAACTTACTTTAGCCTCTGAAAGCCGAATTTCCATCATAATTAGTTCCTTATTAGCACCTGAGCGTAAGCACAGACACCACGCCAGATAGAATTATAAAAGCGGAATAAGGAAAGCACCGAAATATTCAAAAGTTGAGCTAGATAGCAAGATAAAAATGTCCTAGTGTAGAAGTGAAACGGGTCCTCTGGAAACTTGTTTGAAATCAAAATTTAATATTTGGCTTACAGTCATATTTTGGAAAAAGACTGTGTCGCCTAAAATCACACAAACTTGTAACTACCATCACACTTTGGAGCATCCCTAATACATACATTGTTCTGAGCTTCTAACATTTTAATTTCTAGCAATACTAAGTTACGCAAATGTACACTAAATAATTTAATAAAAAAGTATCATAAAATTTCCATACGTACTTGTTCAACGAGTTCAATGGTCGGCTACCAGAACGGCCTAATGTAATGGCGGCCTCCATTTCCATACCAAGATCAACGATTCGCGCCATTTGTAAGCCGATATCGAGATAAGTTATCACAGCAGTTATATCGCCTGGTTTAAAACGAAAAATTATTAAATATTAAATATATTACTAAGAATTTATATTGAAAATCTGAAGACAATTAAGACATTCACAAATAATCCGTGGTACTTTGAACCAAACAACTTGACTGATTGCTATAGTTAAAGTATGTTTTATTTTAACAATTTTTTCAAATTTCTTTATATTTATTTATTTTTGACCACTCTGAAAAAAAAACTTATTCTTCAATACAGAATTCTAGTAACAGTCATCTATTTAATAATATGCTCAGACAGTAAGGTAAATTGAGCGATTCGGAAATTGTATAAATTTTGCATTTAATTATGCTTTATTCACTCTATTCTATATTTTCATACCTATACTACTCATGGCGTCGGGCAAAAAATTTTTTTTTTTTTTTAATTTACCGAAAGATTTGACCCGAAAATTACTGTATTTTTTACATTATTCATTTGTTCAACTCAACTAATGATGAAACCGCAAAACATTCGTCAAAAATTTCACAAACATCAAATTTGAGGTTAAATTTTTAATTGAAAAAATTAAGAAAAAAATTTTAACAACAAATCTAAAATCTCAAACGAATGCTGGCAATCAAATCATTTAACAGAAAGCGGGGAGTTGAAACCAAAATCCAACCCACAAAATTAAAATTGTTAGCAAAAATTTAAATTTGCAAAATTTTTAGCCAGAGCTAGTTAAAACCCTTTTAAACAGAATACAAGGATTCAAGACTAAAACCCAAACCACAAAATTAAAATCATTAGGTAACAAAAATTTAAATTTGCTAGATTTGTGGCCAGCGTTAGTTAAGGAGCTCCAAAAATGTTATAAAAGCCTTTCAGGCGTCAATTTCCAAATGAGTAAGCCAAGTCTCTAATGTTTCAGCATCAAAAACGTCAACTCAATTTAAAATTGAATTAACTCAATTTAACTAACCGTTTGAACATTACATAAATCTCACTCACACTTCCCTTCATTTCATATGTATGTATGTAGGTACTCACGTTTTTGGTCTTTAATTTGCATCTTCTCCAAAGTGTTGACTTGTTTATCATTATAGATGATCACCGCCACCGCGCCATGATCGCACACGTGCTTCACCTTCTCCTCAAAAGTGCAACGACCACGCCTCACCAATGCAATCCACTGTCGATGCGGAAATGCTGTGCCATTTGTGCCCAATATGTGCGGCGAACAGGCGGTATCGTCCGTCACATTGCCCACGGCGCTAACGTGTACAAGTATACCTTGCCGATTGGCCACTAGACCCTCACCATAACGCGCCTTCTCCTCCGGAAATGAGACACGTTCCTCCATGCCATACTCATTGCGATAGGTGTAATTGAGAAAGGCATAATTGTAGAAATCTATAAGTATACGATCTTCGGTGGCGAGTATTTGTGTAGCGTTAGTGGTGCGAAAATAACGATCGAGATCCTGATTGGCGATGGACATGGCTGCCACAAATGTGGTGGTGGTGGTGGTGGAGGTCAAGCGCAGACCGCCGAGTAGCAGTAGACATGCGAGCAGCAATAATTCTTTGGAACACATTTTCGTTTGAGCTGCTATGGATGATGGCTGCTTTTCGATTGTTATTTGTTATTTTGAGGGGTTCTGCTACTTTACGATTGCTACACACAAACTACGTTGCAGGTTTACACTTTTTCCTTTCTTTGCTATACTATATTTTGCTACGTTTCTAGTATTTTCGCTGCGCTCGCGCTCACTGATAATCTTCGTTTAAACATTTGGTTAAAATCGTTTTTCATGCGCCGACACTTTTTGCTTTTTACGTTGACGCAATTTACATTTTACGTTCTAAAGTTATGCACCGAATTGTTCGTTCTCGTCGAAACACCGCTCCCCATCAAAGGCCGCAAGCGAACTGTAATGAGAAATTAGAATTATATTTTCATTTGGGCCAAACGCGTATGTATGTACGTGCGCTACTTTGTAATGTTAAATAATTTTTTTTTTTTTTATCATAAAACGATGTTAATTTCAGTCTACTGTTGTGTTGTATAGCATTTTGTTGTTTGTTTTATTTGTTATTTTTTTCGCAGTTCGTGCTGATAAGATTTCAATTTTGCTACACACATTTTTTACCTCATTGTTGGTACTAATTTGATTCGCATGATTTTGCGGCGATTGAGTAAAAAAAAAGAGAAACGAAAGGTTGTTATCAAACGAGAGCGAAGGCGGAGAGTGTTTAAAAGTATAAGAGAAAAAGTTTAAGTATATTAAACAATTTAAATATTTTTATTTCAGAACTTAAAATTAGCATCCCCACCGTTTTACTCTTCAAATGTGTGCATTTGCTTTAAATACTTTCGTCACTGTCTGTACCAACATACCTCCTGTCTCTCAAACGGGGGGGGGGGGGTTCGGCGCAATCGACGGCATTTATTGTGTGTCGTCGTCCGCTCCCAAAAAGTTGAGAAAACAAATAAAATACCTTTCGATTTTCTTTGTTTTCTTCAAAACTAAATGTTACGTGAGTACTGTGCGCCTCTTATTGATTGTGAATTAGTGAATTGTTCATTTAAGTTGTGTTACGTTAGTGTTTTGTGCGATATTTTTATAACTTCAACGTGTTGCTGGAAGTTTTACGATAATAAAAAACATGGCCATATCAAACAATTTTCAAACAAAAAGGTTTAACTACAATGTGGCAACTGTTCACTAACTTTTTGTACAAACGGGCTTTCGTGATTTTTTTGGGTATTTGGAATCGTTAGGCTTTTTCGAAACCCTTCAGTACTTTAAGGGTTTATGGGAAAAGAGTTGCCAGCCTTTATAGCATTAAATTCAAATTATTTAAAAAGGTCAATCAATTGTTAAAATGTGAAATGATTTTAAAAGACCTTTATTTCTTAAGTACCTGAGAGTTGCCATCTATTTAAAAAATTTAATTCAACTTGAATTAAGGCAAGGTTATTGAAATATAGTGCTCACTCGGTAATCCGCACAGCCAGAATCATGGGGCCGTGCGGATTACTGGGATGTCCGGATTAAAGACGGTGAAAAGTATCAACTAAATTTTTGAGGCAATCCATTTCAATTGTTAGTGTTTTGTGAGCTCATTTTAGCTAATTAATTACTCATATTTTGCTAAAATTATACGCCCGTTCTATTTTTACGCCCATCTATTATGACAACTAGCAAAATAATAATCAAATGCTACGAGTGCCACTTGCTGTCGAAATTCGATCGTTTTTGGAGTTTTTTTTTTTTGAAGTACTTAGAAGATTTTTCTCAAACATAGCACTTCGAGTATCTTGCAGCGTACAAAGCTAATAACTGGCAAACTCCAGCTTCGGATCTACAAAATGCCTATGAATTTTCATTTTAGTTATTTAATTAATTTGCATTAGTTTAGCGGTATTCGCATCATCGAACAATAGTTTTTAACCAATTAACCTTTTAAACCTGGCAGGTGTGAATACCCCGATACAGTTATTTTTTTGTACAACTGAAACAGAAACACAACATAACGAAAAAATAAATTAAAATAAATGAGTTCGCCGGGGCCAAACTACATACAGAAGTGAAACTTTCTTTGATTGTTATCTAGATCGTTTCATACTGCAGAATTTTTTATTAAAATTCGCATTCGGCTTTATATTCGGTTTAGTCGCCTCCTTACTATTCTTCTTCGTATTTGTCTACGTTTTAGTCGCTATCTACGTATTCGCCTTAATCTTCACATTCGCTTTCGTATTTTTAGGGAAAATTAGCCATTGGCCAGATATGTCTGGGTTGTGTTTAAAAGGCTCTGTTTTTGAACTTTATTTTAGAGGCTTGCCACGTGTTTCAAAGTGAAATTTACGTTATTTCATCAGCTAATTGAAATATCTATGTATTACAATGGCAGACGAAAAAACTTTAAGAAGATTTTTTTGGAAAATACGAATTTAGGAATTTACTTAACTTATATACAAGTTATAAGAAATATAAAAATATAAATTTGAAACGAAAGAGGTTAAGAAATCTTCAGTTTAAACATTTCGAATATATTTGAGGTGTTTGAAGAAGGTTGCCACTGTTTTAGCAAATTAAAATTAAATTATTTAACAATTTAAATGAATTTTTAAGAGATGTATATCAATGGAAATGGGTTTGAAAAGGCTTTGTTTGTTATTTGTATTTAGCAGGATTGCCACATGTTTAAAAATCAAATAGACAAGTTATACGAAATATTAAAATGTGAATTTCAAACGAAAGAGTTCAGCTTTTAATTTGTGTTTGCAGGAGGCTAGAGGTATGCCCTCATCATGGGCAGAATTTACTTCGGATATGCAGTTGTAAGGAATACCATTATGTCCGGGGATCCATACCCAAGGGGTATTTTGATACCAGCAGGCTAGACGTTGTTCCATGAGATTTTAAAGATTTTACAGCCGCCTGGCTGTCACAGTAAATAGCGATGGGCGGAAGTTATGAGCCACCAAGGGGCCTCCATTACGCCGTTTAGCTCTGCTTGAATAACGCTACAGTAGTAAAGTAAGCGGAAACTTAGATTTAGCGCGAGTTCACCAGAGTGAGTCCAGCAACCTACTTTCGTTAAGCTTAGAACTGCTTTTATACCCACGTATGTATATGTCCCTCGACTCTGCGTCTAATTCTATGGCCCCATTTGTTCCCCTTTGAAATTCTCATGGAGATTTTGTGGTTTCAAGGACCTATGCGTGTGGTCTCTCCACAGCTGCATCGTAATAACCCTGACCGCGTTACAGCAAGCCATAAGTTTGGCGTAGGGATCCACCGGTGGTAGATTTAGAATTTTATCCACAGATTTGGTGGGTTTGTTGGGTAGCGCCCCGTGGACGAGCATAGAAGCCGTAATCTGTGTAAAATTTGATGTAAGTGTTGCGAAAAGTATGTATGTATATTTCCACTGCCACACAATGTAATTAATTAGCTTTACCAAAAGCAAGTCCTGGCACATATTCATTAGTTATTTGGTGTTCATACTACTTAGTAAATAATGGAAATTTAAACCCGAAAATTAATGATATAAAAAAAACAAATTTTAAACTAAGATGTCAAAGCATGCAAGCCTATAGAGAGTGAATGCACGTGTGCGAGTAAAATCGTATGTATGAAAAAAAAAACAAGTTATTGTTCTCTCAAAAAGCTGTTGACGGTTTCAAGGCTCTTGACATACAAACACCCATGCACATAAATAAGTTCTGATATACTTATATTATATAAACAGCAAAATATGATGGAACACATGATAAAACCATTGCATGGGGGTTGCATAAAAATACATTCAATTTTTATTCATCTATAGTTAAAATAAAATAAGCTCTTCGCAGAAAGCAGTATGAAAAAGTGCACTTATGTAAGTTGGCAATGATGCAGAGCAATGTGACAAAAATTTGGCAAAATTAAATTACTTGAGCTTAAAAACTTACATATCTACATATGGATGTAGGTAGGTACATTAGAAGGCCAAAATTATTTTTCCAGCCACCCCGCAGGAATGAAAAATATCGAAAATAAGGAGACTCGTACTTTTATAACTTTCATAAACATGAAATGGCAGTGTAACGTTGGTCCGATGATTGTACCAGAAGATGAGAAAGACGCATAAAAAAGTACATATATCAAATATACGAAAGTTTGTAGCACTTTTTTTTTATTCCACAAAGTTTCAAACTTGTATTCACTTGGTTTGGGTTAAATAATGAACTATATGTTCATAAAAAAATAACTAAAACTATATAACAAAAAAATAAAAATGTGAAAACTTGTCAATATGTGGTGCGGCTATAATTTTTTCCACCACTTTTTCCAAAACTGGAAAGCACCGTCGCGCAGTGGTTCAAAACTGGAATTTAGTGTTCATAATTCAAAGTAGCCGTTTTGAAGAAAATCGATTTTCCTGTTTCAGTTGATAATTGTTACATAAAAAAACTTGAAAAAAATTGTACGGTTTACCAAAACAAAAAAAAAAAATCACAAGAAAAATTTTATGTTATAAAAAAAAATCACCAAAATTAATTTTTTACTTAAGTTTTCAGAAAAATTTTGTGTATGCAGTTTTATAGATTATTTAATGTTAATACAATAACTTGCAAGTTTCAAGTGGCTAAGAATTCGCCTTGATTTTTAATAATTTTTTTCGCTAACTTTTCGAGCACATCTGCATGTTGTGTAGTTTATATTCTTAATTTATTTATAATTAAAAATCAACGCGAACGCTTAGCCACTTGTAACTTGCACTTTATTATACTAAAATTTGTTGATCTATACAACTGCTTACCAAAAATGTTTCTAAGAAAAAGATTTTAGTTTTGCTGATTTTTTTAAGTTTAATTTTTTTTTTTGTTTTGCGAGAATCCTACAATTGTTTTCAACTAGTTTTTATTAGGTACCATTATGTTTTTTTATATTATGTAACAATTTTCATCAAAATTGCTACTTCTTAAGTTAATTTTCCTGTGTGTTTTTGAACCACCCTAAGGTATAAGAATGCATATGTATGTGCATACATTTATGCGATAACAATAAATCTTTATGCACATGAAATGTAATGGAAGAAGAATTAATGCGAGAGCACAATAACGAAAGCAGAGAGTGGAAGAGAAAGCAATTTGACAACAAGAAAAGGAGGAAACCCCAAATTCACATGAAATGTGCACACCTTAACTGCATTGGATCCTCTTAACTTGGCCGTAAGTGTGCAGATATTAATTCTGGTATATGCCTGAGTGCACAGCCATCTACATACATATATATGTATGTATGTGTACAAATTAGGGTGGTCCAAAAATGCATGTGAAAAAGTAAAGTCGGAATTTTAATGCTCTCACCGCCTAGAATTATTCTATATCGAAATTGTATACCCCAATTTTTTTATTTTGAATAATAATAATA